TTATTTGATAATAATCATAGACGAAAATAAATAAAATATCTGCTTGATACTCAGATATTCTCTTCGTATATCAAAGCAATAAAAATTGTACAAATCTTTATAGCCAAAATTCTTTATTATTTTTACAGTATTGATTAGAATGAAACCGTTACATTTGAGACTATGAAAAAACTGAAAATTTCTATATGTGTATATTGACTAATGCAATATCGTGCGTTTTTGTCCTATTAGAACTATGAATGATGGTATAAAACAGATTGTAGAATGCAAAACTACAAATGCCATCAGTACTACACACTCCCCCACAATCTCTCACAGCGAGCATGTGTCTATAGTGCAAATCTTCAGATACTATATACTTTTCCGTAGTCTCTTTTGTTAATCAGACAGTGCTGAATTGATCAACAACATTGCTTATATTCCTATTTCGAATGAATGAGATAATGATGCATATATGAAGGATTTGCTTCGGATTGATAAAGAAGAGGAAATGATATGTCTCTAATGGAGAACGTATCCAAGTTGTCTAAAGTATTAGAAATTGTGAGAAAACTTCTTCTTTTGCGTCGATTCAAACAGCATAAAATGAAATTCAAGGCAATTATTAGAACAATACAAATGAATGTCAAGAACGTATTAAGAGAACAATCTCGTGATTAGCAATATCTGAAAAAATAATGTCCGGTTTGTTGTCGTCATTGACGTTATGCACTGCTATCGACCATGGTTTTGTAAGAACTCCTGTTGCATATGTTCTTTGAGGCTGAAATATACCATTGCCAAAGTTAAGAAAAATACCAATGTTCTCTTCATTAGAGTTGGCAACGATGATGTCAGGCTTGTTGTCGCAGTTTATATCAACCACAAACACCGATCGTGGTTGTGAGTTGAGCCCAGTTGAATATATTGTTTGATTAAGAAATTTACCATTGCCAGCATTGAGAAGAACGCCAACATTACTCGCTTTAAAGTTACCCACAATCAGATCAGGTTTATTATCATCATTCACATCAGCCACAAATACAGAGTTTGGTTGTGAATCGAATCCAGTTGAAAATGTTGTCCAAGAAACAAATGTTCCATTACCGAAATTAAAGAAAATACCAACACAAGCTCCACCAGGATTTGCGACAATAATATCAGGATGAGTATCGCCATTGACATCTACTACTTGCGGATACGTGACGCCGAAACTATGCGGAACCCGGTAAAGGTGTTGAGATGGGAATTTACCATGGCCAGAGTTTAGGAAAACACCGATAGTGTTCCCATGTTGGTTTGTCACGATAATATCGGGTTTTTTATCGTTATTAACATCAACCACTGCAACTCCTGATGGATATGTTTCGGTTCCGGTTTCATAAGCTTCGGTGTCAAAAAGACCAGAGCCATAATTGAACAAAACACCAACACTATTGTCTCCCTTGTTTGCAACAATAATATCTGGTTTATCGTCATCATTGACGTCAGCGACTGATATATATTGTGGACCTGATTCATGTCCAGGATATCCACTTGAGTGAGTTACTTGCTCAGAAAAATAATTACCTTGAACGTTGAAGAAAATACCAATTTTGTTTGCATTTTGATTAGCCACAATTATATCCGATCTGTTATCGTCGTTGATATCAATGAGCGATACAAAGACTGGTAATGAGTAAGAGCCAGTTGAGTACTTTTTTGGTGTTTCAAATTCCACTTGACATTGTTCTATTATAAACAAAGATTATTTTTATTACTCGTGTGTAGCAATATGTAAATATCATCTCAAATAGTGTTATAATCAACTAAGTATGAGTGTAATATATTTACTCACCCATCGAAATCGAAGACATTTGATTTATACATGAAATCATACACGAAAAGTCTATCAAACGGAGTGAGAGTGCCATTACAAAGAGTTTATGATATATATGTCTGAGTAGGTCTTATCTTTAACATTCAGTTAACCGCGCCCATTCTGAGGATCTTACTATTAATATTTTTATATAGGAGATAGAATATAAATTTCCTCACCGTTCGTTGTACTAATACAAAATCGATAATATTTTCCAATTCAATGTTCTCCTTTCTCGTACGATTCACTAAGCCTAGTTACAATCAATGGGACCTTTTTTGGCAACTATTGTAAAACTTATATCATCACTTAATCAAAAGCATGAAGTACTTAGATAATACTGACCTCTTTGTGGTGGTGTCGTGATTGTTGTAGTTTTTCCATCTAAAGACAGTCAGAAAGTTATTACAATAGAAAAATATACAAGCAAAGTAAAAAAACGTTAATAGGGTTCATGAAAATGCAACGTATTATAAACTCTTTCACATCGTATTACAACCTTTCCAAAACTCTATCTGAGCCACTTATGTATAACGTGATCCTCTTCATTACAGTGTGAATTTTGATAACAAAAAATACCTTCAATTCAATCAGAATGCGGGTCTTTGAATATATATCATATATATACTAATATATGGTATCGAGTTTTTCGGGCTACGGATCACGAGAGTCTTGCGGGCTCTTAAATAGATGTCATATATATATTCTAGCGGAGGTACCCGATGTTGGTTCAGAACCTTACAGACCGAAAATTTCATATGTCAGAAGACGACAGGAAATGTAGAGAGAGTTTTGCTTGAAACTTTTCATCTAGCACTACAATATATCCCCTCGCACATATCTAAAATAGAACAACTCAGGCTATGGAGTACTCCAAATTCACCCTTTTTTACAGATCACGTTGCAAAATCTATCCTTTTTCTTACAGCTCCCGCTCCTAATCTGTCGCCACCTCATTTCTGACTGAAAAAGGCTTAGATTTCGTGTTAGTTTCATCTATCGTGGATACACACGTCCACAATAAAGGAGGATTATCCAACGGATACCGTGTGGGGGTGATTATTTCATTTCTCAATCGTCCTCTTCTCTGTGTAACACAATCAGACCAGTGTGAAAACGTAGTAACACATGGATACTCTAAAGATCGATCAAATAAGTTAAATGATATTCGGTTAACTTCCAACCGCTTTCCGTCTCCCATCTCCTCTCGACTTTTCCTGTATATAAGGAAATGCCACGGACAGTTTGGTGACTTTAGCTATCACAAAAACATCTAGGTGAAATTTCACTCAGATACTTCCTTTGCAGTCCCCGTCAGTGTCTGCAACGCTCTCTCAATTTTCCATTGGACCTGGAGAAGTACCAAGGAAAGATTGGTGACGTTAGCTATTATAGGGCTATTTGGGTGACATTTCACCCAGTCCCCCACTTCCGAGTGTGCCAACCTCTTGCCAACGTTCCTCTGGGCCTAGAGGACTCTTCTTGCAAATTGATATATATCTAAAGACTTGCAAGACCCACAGTCCAATAAGTAGACACCATGTGCTAGTTTATATATATGATACTGTGGACGCTAAGGCGTTTCGTGATAAAAATGGCATTTAAGTTGCGAGCAGAATGAGGGATATCATGTGGATAGAGAGGGTGGGTGTGGAAGAATTGAAGATTGTTAAATCGCATCTATTGAAGAAACTACTTATTTTGTGAAAACCCTGAAAAGCCGCAGATTTTCGAAAAAAAGCCCTCTTTTTTGTCGCTAAAATTCAGTTTCTAATGGCAAAGACCATAGCCTCCGCTTATGGTAGCGTTCGTAAGTTCAAAAAATCCGTCTAAATTATGTATGGTAGAATAGATCAATTTAATCCATTATTTAGGAACGTTTTTATACCGATTTCTGGGTGTGGGTGGGTATAGGTGACTAAGAAGTGAATACCTATACCGTGGTCCAGTTCTACACCCACCCTCAAGAACAACTATACCTGTTATTACTGCTGTTGTTTTTCTGTTCGTTTTAACTCTCCAGCAAAATCTTAGAACAAGAATTGTTAGAGCACCACCAACTATAATCCCAACGATCACAATAACGATCGTATAGCACACCTTTTTTCTCTTTGGAGAGCTCCTAAAAATGGGAATATTATTGCCTTGTGTAGTACAAAAATAATTTATATACACTGTGGTCATTGAAGAAGGCTGTTCTTCAATTGTATTACCGACCATTTGGTTGTTCTAAAGTTTAGTTGAAAAAAAACAGAATTAAAGTCTTATCCCTTTATTTGTAATAAGATCAGTGACATACTTCATGATTCTCATTCATTGATCCATTGGTGTCTGGCATTGATCTAGAATTTGTTTTAGTTTTTTCTCCTACAAAAAAAAGAATAGTATAAAAATATGATTTTTATCACTAATGTTAAAAAAACTCGCGGAGGACTACATAAATGCTTCTGCTATTCGCATCGCATTAATGAACATTCAGCGTAAGCAGTGCTAATATCTACGTATCGTCTGTATCAGACTCTTTTTTAAGCATACTGATAGTTCAAAATGTAGTCGTGAATATTATGATCATTTAACATTCATATTCATATTTGTACTACAAATCATTATCTATTGTCTTTAAAATTACATATAAAATGAAGGATTAATTAGTCAATAATTTTCTTTGTTCATACAATCTCATACAGAGGTGTAAGCCGTCGGCTCTAGCAAAAATATTAACAGCTAGCTGTCGGCTTCAGCAAAAATTGACTGGCGGCTTACACCTCTAATCTCATTAATCTAACAAATGCAACGCTCTAAATCATGGGCAAATAAAAATTTTGCTTCTCTTTATGCGACTCTTTTTTTTAATATATAAAAGCAGATGCGAGTGATTATCTAGCATAAATACAGAACATGTTAAAAACAGTGCATGATTTTCATGCAGGATACGGAAGCAAATTGTTTCAATCAACATTTTTAGTTATTCTTGATAAAAGTGCGATACAAAAAAATTTATTATTTTGCGTAGGCAATGTATTTTTCTGACGTAGGAAAAATGTTGTTTAATACAATATTTTATTTCACTACATCTGTCTACAGAAATAACACTCTATAACAACACATCAGATTTTTTTTCTGTCTTACGTTTTACATTTATCATAAACGCGTATAACTCACCATGCCCATAGTCGATTTTTGTCGACAGACAATATCTTCTTGGAAAATATTTTTTGTCAATCTCAATCTTTTTCAACCACCAGTTGGTAGTAATCAAACTGAAGATGAACAACAACGTCGATTCAATATCCTTGTTACTCGGATCTATATAGTTCTTTTCACATGTCTTCTCATTTATCTCAGTCTTTTTATATATTCAGATGTGAAAGATATCATCGAGAAACGAGATAATCCAACTAAAAAAGAACTAGACAGCTTTCATGTTGATGCAGAATGTCCTTGTTCTCGTATTTCACTCTCACATGGTGAGTTTATTTCATTGAAAGCGATTTTACATCAAATATGCTCGAGTGATTTTGTGCTTGATCGTTGGATTAAAGCCATCTACTCTGACTCGAATGTTACATATTTCAATTTAAATGACTTTCGAACTTTCGGTAGCGCACAATTTCAAGCGTTAGCCGGTTTCTGTGATCAATCAAAATCTTATCTTCGACAAAATATTGAGTTATTTGAAAAACGCACGTTTATCAGTCCACAACTTTTGTCAAGAAGTCTTTTTCAAGAAGAGATTAACTCAGCTATTACTCAATTTCAACAGACTCTATGTAAAGCATTTGCAGCTGAGTTGGATCTAATCCTTCGAGTAATAAGCAGCAATCAACTTATGTCCGGTCTTCAAACAAACTTTATCATATCATATGGCCATTGGCCCCCTAAAATTAACCCCGCTAAATATAATGACAAGAATAAGGGGTTTTGCAATTGTGTTTCGGATCGTCGATGTATTTCTAATGCTATCTTTAGCGACATATTCGGAGCACAAAACCAGTATGATTCCGGTCGTGAGACAATGCTACCTGGGTTACAATCAGGTTGTTCGCCAGTGACTTCGATTCTTGCATCGTCACTTCAGTGTTTTTACAATCAGATATGTTTGAATACTCTTGTTTCAGTATTTCCAACAATAGAAAATTTCTCAGCAATGGCAAGTAACAATCTTAGTCGTTTCGGCCCATATGCAACCGTGCAATCAATCGTCGATAAGCTGATGGTGGAAGATTGGCTCATGAACGTGTCTTATGAAAAGTATCGCGATAATTGTGCACCTCTTTCTTGCACTTATCCAAAAGAAATGAGAAGTACTTTAGTGGATGTGGTAGTACAACTCATTGGCTTACTAAGCGGCTTGATATTGGCACTGAGACTAGTGATTCCAATTATTGTTCGATTCATTATTAATAAATTAAATAATGTACAATCTCCACCATCCACTCTGACTCGTAAGCAATTCTATTCTCATGATAGCTATACTCTTCTTAGGGTTTAGCAGCTCCGACTTCTCGGAGTTGGTCTTTTTTTCATAACGCAGCCAGCATTGGAAGGGTAATTTAGGAGTTGAAGCCGAAACCGGAGCCGGAGCTAGAGACAGAACCAAACGAAGACTTTTGTTACCGGTGCTGAAGCTGATGTCAGAGCCCTTGACAGCTGTTGGTAGGGGTGAACCGAGTCTGAGCCTCTCGGGCTCGGTCTCGGTCAGGGCTCGAGTGTGAGGATGAGGGTGGGTGTGGGTGAGAGCGTGAGTGAGAAGGATAGTACTCGGACTCAGCACACCCATCCTCATACTCGAGCCCGAGTCCTGACCGAGCACGAGACTAACTGAGCCAGAACCCGAGAGGCTCAGTCACGGCTCGATACATCCCTAGCTGTTGGCTTCGAATTGAATCCGGATTTTTGCCTATCTGTTTACATCGTGTGATTATCCAGGGTAGATTTTCGGTGAATTTGATAGAGACAGAGCTCGGCAGCTCTTACTCTGAAGCTGAATCGACTCCTAAGAGCTGATCTTTTTTTAAAATGAAGCCGGACCTATCAATCTATAGTTCTTCTGTCAATTAATATAATTTTAATTTCTAGTTCGCGAACGCTTGCGTCTAATTAAACCGGCTTTGAAAAAGTTAATTGTTGAACTAAATACATTTGAATATTTTCCCCATAATGATCGACAACTTCAATATCAACGTTATGCTACTCGATTGTACGTATTCTTGATCATCATTTCAGTTACAATCCTAGCTGGATATAATCTGGTGGACATATCAAGTCATCGGGAAACTATTACTAATCCATCAGAATCCCAATATATTAACCTTGACAAATCCTATCCAACTGATCTGATCTGTAAATGTACCAACATATCTGTATCTTACTCCTCTTTTATAACTATTCAACCTCGATTCCATCAAGTATGTTTGAGTTATTTGATTACTCCAGAATGGATAAGTTACACTGATTCGAAGAGTAGTGCCGATTGGTATATACTCGACTATCGAGTCGTTGCTAGTAGTCAGTTTCAAACATTGGCGATACTGTGTGAGCATGCTCAGAATATAATCGATGATGCTCTTAATATGTTCTTGGAAACACAGCTTGTCAACTCACAAATAATCAGTAAAGAACTATTTGAAGATAAAATGAACCACACTATTGAAAGTTGGAAAAACTCCACTATCATTCAATTCAAAAGCAGAATGAAACTTATTCGAATTACCACGACAGCAAATCAATTGATGACTCGTTTGAATACTGTTTTTAAACAAAATTCAACTGCAAGTGAGTTAAAAACTGAACCGCTAAAGTATGGTGAATGTGATTGTGGTACGACGAATGATACATGTACCGAACTCATCAAAATATATGAAAAAGTCGGATTTACTCTTAAAGAAAACTATACAATTCCTAATTTTTTTGTGGGCTGCTATCTGATCGACGCATTATTTTTATCGACATTAGAATGTTTCTATAATGAATCATGTATGAAGGGTCTTCTTGAATATTTTCCACCTGTCGTCGAACCGTGGACTGTTCCAGCGCTAAATTCAAGTCTTAGTCAAGCTAATAAGTTGATTGGATCGATTGTTGATGAATTGATGATTGATGAGTGGTCAGCATATGCCAATTTTACTTCTTATTACCACAAATGTGCGCCAAGTACATGCATCATCGAATATAACAAGTATCAAGGTTTCTTGACGATTATCAGCATTATTATTGGTATTTTTGGTGGCCTATCCATTGCTTTCCAGTTGCTGATCTGGTTTGGCCTTCGATTAATTGAAAAATTTATCAACGGATTTTCTTTGAAACTATCTTTACAGTTTCTAAAACAGATTTTTGGCTGGAATGATGAACAAAAGTTGACGGGTCGCTTACATATTATTCTAGTTGGAGTGATCCTCTATATTCTCTACATACATCACGTATTTCGTCCTAAGTTAATTGAAGAGAAATTTCAGAAACCATTACTAGCCGATTATGAAAATCTAATTGGACAGTATCCCGATTCTCTGCATTGCTTTTGCTCGAAAATAGCAATTCAATATCGTTTCTTTCTTAACCTAACCCCTCATTTCCACGATGTATGTCTGAGAGACCTGGATTCAGAAGCGTTGGCCATAGTCAATAGTGTTAATCATACTTTGTTCATGCACCTTGGTCAACAGTATGCGTCTACAGGTCGGACATATATCCGAACGATCAAGTCACTCTGTCGACTGTCTAGTGACACAGTGTACGGTTCAATCAATCAATTATTAGCAAGTCATCTAGTCAATACTGAACTATTATCTCCATCCTCATTTATCAGACAAATGCGAGCGATTCTTGATGATTTCAATTCGACAGTACCTAGCATATTAATTAATACGTTCGCATTGACTCGCATGATAATAAATACAAGCAAACTAATGAATATCTATGGTAATAGTTGGATTTTTGAGGTTCAGCCAACTCCAGATTTTAAAGATACTGCGCACACTGTTCCAAATATTATAAAAGAATGCAATTGTGGATTTACTTCGAGCTGCACCTGGTTTCATTTTGGGTTAAAGATAGGTTGTTATCCAGTCGAAGCTATGTTGGAATGGTCACTCGACTGTCTCTACGATCGAAAATGTTTGAAAGAAACAAACATTTCTTTAGTATTGAATAGCTCTACTAATCCAAGTCGTTTCCCTTATAATTCAACTATTGAATCTATTTTCAATAAACTAATGATGGAAGAACTTGTGAATAATGTATCCTATGAAAATTACTTTCACCAGTGTGCACCTATATTGTGTGTTCGTTCTTATATCAAAAAAAGTGATCTACTCCACGGGATTACAAAAATGATTTCTCTCTATGGCGGTGTAGTAATCATTTGTAAGTTCGTTGCAGTATTCATCGTCAAACTATTACGATATCGATCAGTCCGAGTTACGCCGACGACAAACTAATCTAATGATAGACATTTTAATCTCTACTTTATCTGATCGATGTGCTGGTATTGGTACAAAACTATACATATGACTTAGAAAATGACAAAATGCTTTGACTGTCTTGATGGTGGGTGTAGATGAAGAAGGATTTGCTTACTGTTAATGTCAGCAAATGACACTCTAACTCTTGGTTAACCGGCATAAAGCCATTGTATTTTCTGTATTAAATAAACACAGTACTTTCGATAAAGAGTCTAGTATCTCAGTTTGTCAAAAATATACACTATGAAACTCATATTATTTTTGTAGCTTCTGATAGTAACAGCCCCTATTTTATTTTGCCCTGTTTCATGTGCTAGCATGAAGAACAAACAAAGATTTTCTCTCACAAAGTTTTGACTGAGAATTGACAGCAATGAATATTAAACAATATCCGACTATATCATGGCTGGTTTTTTTACAATTGATAAGTTTGATCTATTTTTATTTGAAATCATTCTTTAACACAGCTGAAATACGAGTCTATCTACAAAAAGAATGCTATTACAGATACAGACAGATATATAAGATAGCCAAGACACAGAGTTTCTTGATATCTAAATATTCTTACAATTACATGATGATAATTATCAACAGAACATAATCTTTTGTCATATTTTGTTGTAAAAGTATGAATCGAGAAGTATTAGCTGCTGGGATTCTATGAAAGTCGGTAAAATTTAGTCCAAAAAATGAGCTCGAAACTTTGTGATGAAAAATCTATAGTTTTGATGAATATTAACTTCTAATATCTGGCTAATTTGTCGCGAGTACAAACAAATTCACTCAACACACTCTTAATTCGTAGCACTAACATCATCCAAGTTAAGTTCAAAAAAACCATTCGCTCATGAATCGTACTGATTGTTTTATTCTAGGTCGATGTATAATAACATTTGATAATTATACAAAGTTCTTTAATATCTATAATGCAATCTTTTCTGGTATATTAGTACGAATTTTAATGACTACTTTTAGTCTAGTAACAATTCGAATTATAAAACAATTTCAATAATATATTGCTAATAATACAATAGTTTTAATGAATATTTTATTTAATATCGACCATCACTTGCAAACTAGTGTATCAATTACAGGGAACTACAAAGTGGTCCCGGTCTCGGTTCCGCGGGACCGGGACCGGGACTGTCATTAAATTTCCATTTCTTTCGGGATCGGATCAAAATTGTCATCTGATCCCGTCAATTTTTTTATCATATATTAAACTAGACATTTTCTTGTCTGTAATCTTTGTAAAGTAAGAAATGGCAAACCAAATTTTTCAGTTGCAGCTATGGAGAAAACATACATATTTAATTCACATTGAAAATACTAAAAATTTTACCAGCTTCATAGATTATTTCGCAGATGAGGGAAAAACACATTAATTGGGTTGGATAATAATTCTATCACTCTCTTCTGTTATGTCATTTTTCTTTAGTTCATTTTACTTATTTTTAACCTCGATGAAGTTTTGAGACCGGAACCAACTGTTGATGTTTGACCGGAACCGAAAAAAAAAGTGATTTTGCAGTTCCCTAAATATGACTTCAAGATATTATTCTAACTCATATATTATTTGGTGAATGATAATTTATTAAGAAATGTGAATGATTAAATAGTTTGATTACATAGAAAATTTTATGATTCAGTTCATGAAAGAAAATGTCATTTTGTCTCTATAGATTAATAAAGCTCAGCGCT